TTCACTTTCCATACAGCAGCTCACATATACTTTGTCTCATGACATTGACTACAATTTACCACAATGCAACAGCTCCCCTCCCACTTCTGCCCCATAGTTACCTCTTCCCTGTGTCCTTCCCTCCATGCACTCCTGCTCTCTGAGCTGTCTCCCTGTACATACACAGCCCTTCTATTCTCCCATGATCGTTCTCTTCAAGGAGTATATCTACCTAATGTAACTGTTCACCTCATATGCCTGTCTTTTCTTTGGCTGGAAGGCACAGGAGTGGGTCCAATTCCAGACCTGAAGGGCAGTTAGGGGCCATATAGTCTTAGCGGTTCCACCAGGCTCTCCCAGACCAGCAAACCTGGTCCCTTTTTTTTTTTGTTTCCCATTGTTGTATCTAGGTGGCCGTGTGCAAGCTTTTAAGGCCCCAGTCACTACTTGCCAAAGTAGGACATGGAACAATGTTTTGTGTAGTATGTTATGCCAGTTGAGCTTGATGTCCCCTGTGACTATGATCCCAAGCTATTTGTTGGTAATTTTTTTTATGACTTGTTCAGTTTGTTCCAAATTTTTCTCCCCCTCTATCCAGGACCTTCTCTCATTATCCTAGTCTCCTGTTATTTTGAAGTTGCCTATTTTTCTTTTCAATTCTGTTAAAGTCTGATTTTTGTGTTTTGGGCTTTTTCATTGGGTGCATAGATCTGTATTATTGTTATATTCTCTTGTTGCATCAACCCTTTAACGATTATATAATATCCTTCCTAGTCTCTTATACTGGCTTTTGCTTTACAGACTATTTTATCAGAAATAAATATTGCCACTTCTGCTGTTCCTTTAGTTGCCATTTGCTTGATATGTTTCTCCACCTTTTGATTTTTAGCTTATTTCTGTCTTTGTGTTTAAGTTGTGTCTCTTACAGACAACATATTATTGGTTCATGTTTTCTTATCCATTCTGCTACTCTCTGTCTTTTCACTGCTACATTTAATCTATTTACATTCAGTATAATTTTCGATAAATATGAATTTATGTCTTTCATTTTGCTATGTGTGTATGGTGTGGTGCTGATGGTTTCTTTGTTCCATATGTTTTTCTGTACTGAGTTCATTTTGTTTATGGATTTTCTTATCATTTCCTTTGTTACTGTTGTTTTAGTGTTACTGAGACTTTATGATTTTCTTCTTTTTTATTTTGATGAGAAGGTTTGTTAATTGTCTTTGAGGTTACCCTAGAATTTATTTTTATCTTCTCAAGTTTAAAACAGTCTATTCTATCTTGGTATCATCTTGACTTCCTCTCCATTTGGAAATTCTGTAACTATATAATTTATTCCCTCTTTTTGTGCTATAGTTATCATAGTTTACAAATTGATGTCTCTGCTTCCCTATTTTCTGTCTTGTAGGTTTATTTCACTTTTGATGCTTGTATATCTAAGTTGATGTGCAGATAATGTGTGTTTTAATGTATGGTTTTTGTCTGCCATTGCATTGTTGGTTCTCTGTCTGAAAGATTTCCTTTAACATCTCTTGTAAGGTTGGTCTGGTTTTTACAAATTCTCTTAATTTCTGTTTATCTGGAAATGTCTGAATTTTGCCATTATATTTGCGGGACAGTTTTGCTGGATATATAATTATTGCCTGGCCTTCCTCCCCCCCTCAGGATTTTATATATGTCATTCCATTGCCTTCTTGCAGGTATGATTTCTGCTGAAAAATCAAATCTTAGTCTTACTAGTTCTCCTTTGTAGATAATTTTTTGTTTTTCCTGAGTTGCTTTCAGGATTCTTTCTTTGTCTGGCTTTGAAAAGTTTGATTATGATATGTGTGGTAGTTATGTTTGTGTGTCAACTTGGCTAGGCCTGGTTGAGTGGCTGGAGCTGGTGGTAGTTATTCCCCATGATGAGACTGGCAATCAGTTCCATGATGGGATCTACCACAAGCAGCTGAGTAGCTGCCTTTGGGATGTGGACTGCTTCCTGTACATAAGGAGAAGCTTTGAGAATGGTCTCTAGCCTATGACATGCTTGGATCCTGCATGTAGCTGTGTCGTTGCTCAGCAGCCTGCTATGCTCTGCCAACCTTGGGACTTACAATGGACTTAAGTTAATGGCCTGCCGTGTGGTTTGGTAACATCGGGATTGTCCCTTTTTTATTTGTCAACCTTGGGGCTTCTCAGTCTCAGCAGCCAGCAGCTGACTGAGTGAAGAAATGCCTCTAGCTCCAGTGGGCCAGGAGCAGGAGACAGAGCTGGACCCAAAGGTTGAGGGGCTTTTACCCAGCCCCTAGAGCCTGGCATTTTGAACTTGGCCTTAAAGCCTCCAAATTTTAAGAAAAACTCCTGTTTTGTGGTATATTTCTTGTCAGAGCATCATTAGGTAACCAGAACAATATGTTTTAGTGATTTTCTTTTGGGGTCTATCCTCTTTGGAAGGAACTCTGATGTTGCAGTGCATAAGGCATTTGGCTGCTAACCAGAAGGTTGGCAATTCAAACCCACCAGCCTCTCTGTGGAAAGAAAATGGGCAATCCACTTCTATAAACATTTACGGCCTTAGAAACCCAGTGAAGGTCACTATGAATTGCAGTTGACTCAGTGACAGTGAGTTGTTATTTTTTTAAATTGTGATTTGGGTGAAAGTTTACAGAGCAAATTCATTTTCTATACAGCAGTTCATACACATTTTATCTCATGACATTGACTGCAGTTCCCCACAATGTAACAGCTCTCTTCACACTTCCACCCTGTGGTTACCTCTTCCCTGTGTCCTTTCCTCTCATACAGTCCTGTTCCCTGCCTCCCCCACCCCCAGCTGTCTCTCTCCGCAAACACTGCCGTTCTATTCTCCCATGATTGATCAGTCCAAGGAGTCTATCTACCTGATGTAAATGTTCATCCCATATGCCTGTCTGTTTCGCTGGAAGCCACAGGAGTGAGTTCAGCTACAGATCTGAAGGGTAACTAGGGACCATAGTCTCAGGGGTCTCTCCAGGCTCTATCAGACCAGCAAACCTGGTCTTTTTTTTTTTTTTTAATGATTTTGAGTTTTGTTCCACATTGTTCTCCCACTCTATCCAGGATCTCCTGCATTGATCCCCCTCAACAGCAGTGAGTTTTTGAAGTTTTTTAATCCTATTTGGTGCTTGCTGAGATTCTTACATGCATATCTTGTCATCTGTCATAATATTAGGGAAGTTTTCTTACAACAAATCTTCAACAGTTTTCTCAGTGCTTTTTTTTTGTGGGGGAGGGGGCATCATTTCCTATTCTTGAATTCCAATCACACATAAATTATTCCTGTTAATGGTATTTCACATAGTTCCTAGGATTTTTTTTTTTTTCCATTCTTTTTTCTGATTGTTCCTTTAACAGATAAGTATTAAGAGGTTTGTCTTCAGAATTTTTGCTAATTCTGTCTTCCGTTGTTTTAATTTTACTCCTTTGCCCTTTCAATGCCTTATCTATTTCTGAAATTTTAGTGTTAATCTTCTGGATTTCTAGTTGCTGTTTTTGTATGGTTTTTAATTTTCCATTTATTTTTTTCAATTTGGTCTTATATTGTTTTCCTGAATTCTTCTGGAGTATTGTCTGTATTTTTCTTGATTTTTGTCTGTGATTTCCTTAAGGAGCTTGGGTGGTGTAATAGTTAAGGCATTTGGCTGCTAATCAAAAGTTTGGTGGTTTGAACCCACTAACCACTCTGTTAAAGAAAGATGGTGCAGTCTGGTTCCATACAGATTTACAGCCTTGGAAACCCAATGGGGGTTGCTATAAGTTGGAACCAACTCGATAGCAGTGAGTTTGTTTTTTTAGTTTTTTATGTTTTCCTTGATTTTATTTATGATCTCTTTTTCTTGATCCATTTATTAATCTGTTGAGAGGCTCTAAATATAATTCTTTTGAATTTCTTATTAGGTAGTTCAGTACCATTTCTTCCTCCAGATTATTTTGGTCACTTGCTTGAGCCATCTTCTGTGTGTGTGTGTGTGTGTGTGTGTGATCTGAAGTTGCCTGTAGTCTCTGAAACATTGTGATGTTATTGTATTTATTTGTTGACTATATGTTGGTTTCCTTCACCCTGGTTTTTTATTTTGTTTTAATGTATCCAGGCAGTGGGGTGGGTGTCCTACTCTGGTAGCTAGTTTGGCAGCACTGGGTTTCTCACCACCTGTCTCTGGGTGGATTTGGTAGTGGGCGGGAGTATGGGTGTGAGTCTCTGATCACTAGAGCAGCTGAGGGCAGGCTGGGCAGTTGTTGGCCACCATCTGTCATTGATCCAGTGGTGCTGGAACAGGTGGTAATACTTGCCCAGGTGTAGTGGGTATGACTGGGTAGAGTCACTGATTCCTGTCTGATGTGGGGCACAAAAAGGGGAAAAGAGAGGACTAAAAAAAGAAAAGAAAAAAAGTGTTAAAAGGGGAGAGAAGAAGAAAAGAGAAAAAAGAGAGGAAGAGGGAATAAGAAGAAAGGGGGGGAAAAAGCTGCTCAGTATGGGCACAAATGCTAGAGCTTCCAGCCATAGCTGCGAAGGGAGTGTGTATAGCCAACTGCAGAAGTGGTGGGGGCAGGCCCTATGGATCGTGGATGTGGCAGAGGTATTGTGCCCACTCTGTGGGAGAGCACACCACCAGCTGCACTGAATGTGACCTGTGAAGGTGTGCCCTGCAAATGGGTGTTTTACTCTTGTATCAACAGAGCAGAAAACTAGACATCAGAGCAAGCATTCATTTTTCAGCTGCAGCTCATGTTGCTCTTATATAACTTAACCTTATCCTCTGTGCCTTAATTTCATCATTTTAAGCTAAGTTTATTTCTTCTTCTGTTAGTTTCATGACTTCCTGAGGGACAAAAGAGCAGTCATGGAGCATGAAATTCAATCCTCAAATGCCATCACTCTTGAGTTCCGCAAATACAATTGCTCAGAGATGGGGAAATTCAAAAGATCTGAAACAGTTTCCTTCAATACTTCTTCATTTCATTCAAGTCCCAAATTAATAAATAGTACACCTCTTACATCTCAGTCTCTATCTAGGTTGATGTGAAAAAAGGAGAGAGAGGAAAGAAGATAAAGTGTAAAGCATGGGAGAGGGCCCTTGGGGCAGGGTGGGGGCAGGTTGCTAGGGAATTCACCCAGAGAATCAGAGTGAAGTTAAGGTCCTCCAAAAAGGACTTGGCTTTTTGTCACCTAGAAGCCAACTCCTCATTTCTAAATGAAGTGTTTGAGAGTTAGTGACCAAAGGTAGATTGAGCCTTATATCCTGTCCTTGTCAAATATGCTTGTCTGGCTGAGGGAGAACAATCCCTATGGATGGTGCAGCATGTTTCGTGTGAGCCCCAATCCTTCTGCTCACTGAAAACCCAGTTTTCATTCTTATAATTATCCCCAGCTGACATTTAAAAGGAACAGCAACAGAAAAATTGTGATGTTGCTGTTATCCCTGGAGGAATTAGGCTCTTAACACTGCAGTGCATGTGAGTAGTAAGATGTTAGTAAAGCTGTATGTTTAGAAGTTCTGTGTTCTTAGAATAAGCCCTCAGGGAAGTTGTCAGAGACAAAACCTCAGAAAACTGAAGTAGCTTATTTTTTGGCACAAGGGATATAAATTAAGTCAGTGTAAACTCCTCAAAGACAGGAGCTCTGGTGGCGTAGTGCCTAAGGCATTTGACTGTTAATCAGAAGGCCGGTGGTTCAAACCTATCAGCCACTCCTTAGAAGGAAGATCACTACTTCTGTAGTGATACCACCTTGGAAATCCAAGGAGGGGTCACTGTGAGTTGAAATCGACTCGAAGGCAGTGAGTTTTTGGTTTTTTTTTTTTTTTTTTTAAACTCTTCACGCAAAAGTGGCCCTTACCTCATCTCAGCAATAGATCTGAACACCAAAAGATCCTTCTATTAGCCAGAACCATAGAGAGAGGTTAGAGATCAAGAAGAGACCAAATGGATTAAATTTGTCAATATTTGAATAGAATTGATCTCATATGTTTTTGAGTTTTTGATTAGATATGTAGTGAGCAAATGAAGCTAGAAGTTGAAGTAGCAGAGCTTAGAATTGTAGCAGAGAGTTAAAGGACAAATGGGAGCAATGGAGGAGAGTGAAGCCCTCATCTGAATATGGGATCATTGATTCTCACTGCTGAGTCACTGCACACTGAGGGGGTGTGCCCTCCTTGGTGAGAGGTGGCCTGGGAGTTGAGGTTTCAGTCTAGTTCTATTGCTGGCATTTCTGCATTTTGTTTACCCATCCTTACCCTTCTTTATATTTGTTTAAATCCTGGTTTAGTAATAATATAATAGAAATGGTACATGAGTTTCTGTATATTATTTACTTTGCTAACCTGGTTGCAAACTCAAAACTAGTCCCTGGCAATACCCTGGAAACTGTTTTCCTTTGGGTCACCTTGGGAAGCAGTGAGGGTGCGAGAAGGGGACAGCAGAGAAGGATGAGTGGAGCACAGGTTACTGATATCCTGGACTTCATCTCATATTTCCTTTGTGCCACGGCTAACTTCTCCTTGCCCTGCAGAAGAGTCAGAGGGGGCAGCAAGCAGAGGAGCTAAGTCAGCCCTTGTTTTCTGGAATGCCATCACATTTTTAGTAGCTTCTGCCCAGTAAATCTACAAATTGTGATTTGCTGTGACCTTTATCCTTCTTAGAATCTAGTGTCTGTTAAACTTCATCAGAGGTCCAAGAATATAAAGATCCTGTGTTTCCATACATCTTCATAAAATGCTGTCTCTTAGACCTTACAGGACCAAAGTTGGACCACACTAACCTCAGCTCCTGAGGCAGAGTTGCACCTGTATGCCTATCTCCACCCACAGACTAGAGAATTTCTGGCCAATGGCTGGAGATGATCACTGACCTTACGCTACAGGACAAAAATGAATTTACAAATATTTGTTGGACTTTGCAAATAGCTGGTGCTGCTTTGTCACATGTTTTTTGCTTCTACCTTTTCAGGGGTTCCTGGGCTGCAGCAGCCTGGACCAAAGTTGTCAAGTGAGGCTTTAGAAAAGTCTGAGATGGAAGACAGGGATATAATAACACTCAAACATGTGGGTTTTCCTTTGAGGGCAGGACTGTGTCACTTTTTTGTCTCGTTAAAATGGATTTATTGTTTTTCCCCTTTATTTAGGAAGGGACAACAAAAATAGGAAGGATTGACTCAGACCAGGAACAGGACATTGGTAAGTGACAGAGCACCTGGGCATTTGGTAGCAGGTATTTGTGCTTGGCAGGTTTCTTCAGAAGAATATGATGGTGCTCTGGGAGAAAGAGAATGTTTGAAGTAGTAAGGGTTTGCTTCCCTGGGTGGTGCAAAACACATTTGGCTGCTCACGGAAAAGTTAAAAGTGTGAATCCACCCAGAAGAACTTTAGAAGAAAGGCTTGGTGATCTGATTGTGAAAAACTAGCCAGTGAAAACCTTCCAGCACTGTGAGTCAGAACTGACTCGGGAACACCTGTCCTATTTTCTCTTTATGTTGCTAAGTTTTGGGTTTGGGACATTTGTCTAGTTAAAGTTGTGTGTCAACTTGGCTGGGCCATAAGTTTGAGTGGCTGGGCAGCTAGATGTAGTTATTACCCGTGATGAAGTTGATAATCAACTCCATGCTGGAATCTGCTGTGAGCAGCTGAGAAGCTGCATTTGGTATGTGGCCTGCTTCCAGCAGGTAAGGAGAAGCTTTGGGAAAGGTCTTGAGCTTTTGGCACACCTGCATTTGGTTGAGTCTTCATCTCAGTGGCCTGCCATGTTGCCTACTGATCTTGAGATTATTCCTGGACTTGAACTAGTGGCCTGCCATGTCTGCTAATCTTGGGATGGTTACATTTTACTTGTTGATCTTGAATTTGTCAGCCTCAGCAGCCAGCAGCTGTGTGAATCAGAAAAAGCCTCCAACTCTAGTGGTCCTGGAAGAGAAGGCAGAGCTGAAGCCCAAGTTCAAGGGGCTTTCCTGTAGCCCCTAGAGCCAGCTCTGTAACTCAGACTTCTAGCCTCCTAAACTGTAAGAGAGTAAATCCTATCTGTTAAAGCCATCCACTTGTGGTATTTCTGTTAGTAGCACTAGAGAACCAAAACAGACATGATAGGAGGAGACCCTCACAGTGAGGATTTCAGATGTCAAAGGATTAAGTGACTCTTTGGCTCCTGCCATAATGTGAGATCTTTCAGACATGGATTCTGATCTCACATAAAAAGAATGGAGGGGGTGTTTTCCTGGAATGTTGCCGACCCAAGTGACCACATCCTCTTCTGTAGTCCTGCAGGGCCAGTGGATCGAGAGAGACCACTGCACCATCACCAGTGCCTGTGGAGTAGTTGTTCTGCGGCCTGCCCAGGGGGCCCGGTGCACAGTGAATGGCCGAGAGGTCACTGCCTCCTGCCGTCTGACCCAAGGTAGTATTATCTACAGCCCTGTGTGTCCCTAGGATGAGTGATGGACCAGCTGCGTTCTTATGGCTAATTTCCCAGAGAGCTCAGTGAAGCAGGCTTTAAAGATGGTATATCTAGCCTCTGCACCCAGAGACCTGAAGATTTTCTAATATGGACTCTTTCCCATAAACAAAAGAAGCACCAGTTTCTAAGACTCAAAGTGGAAACTAACTCTCTGAAATACGTATCTGTGTTTATTAGCTCTGTGCCCTTGGGAAGGTCTCTGAGCCTCACCTTCCTCACATGTAAAATGGAGATAATAATAGGATTATCGTAAGTTTTAAATAAGCTAATCCATGTAATGTTCTTAGAATTGTACTTGGTACTTAGTAAACACCTATATCATTGTTATTATCACTATTACTATTACTGATTTATTTAAATATTATTCTTTGAGGATGAGCTTAGATTCTCCCTCTTCATCAATGCTTTTTAACCCTGATTACCCTGTCTGGAATTCATTTTCCTTTGTCTTGGAAAACTAGAGCTTTTCCTTTTTAGTTCATTAATTCAATACATATGCTGTGAGAATTATTTGTATCTAAATTAATAGATATTTTCTTGACTCAGCTAAATCACTGGCTTCTTGGGGTCAGGACTTTGTCTCATAGAATATCCTGCACGTAGCACATACTTAAAACATGTCTCGTTTTCCTTTGCTCTACAGGAGCAGTTATAACCCTGGGGAAAGCACAGAAGTTCCGATTTAACCATCCAGCAGAAGCTGCAGCCCTACGGCAGAGAAGGCAGGTGAGCAGGACTGTGTTTCATAGGATACAAAGCCTCCCTGTTTCTTCTTTTTAGGGGAGAAGGTTGAGGTTTGTTTCTGTTGGGGTGGGGGTGGTGATGGCAGCCTCACTGAGCTTTCTTCATTGCTTCCAGAATGGAGAGGCTGTTGGTGGCACTGGCTCTTTAGAGTGGCTGGATTTGGATGGAGATGTCACTGCCTCTCGGTTGGGTCTCTTCCCTTTGCTTTGGAAGGAAAGGTAGGAAACAGCTGCTCTTATTGCTGTGGAACCTACTGGTTTTGCTTCTTAGTCCGTCTCAACATGATCAGTGTAGCAGCCAAGGTCTGAATGAGGTCTGGTCTGAATTTACTTCAGCAAGTGATTAGAAGACACTGAGTAGCTACTTAGTTGTACTTGGCAGGGAGGTGGCCTTAGCCCTCATTTGTTTCCTCTTTGGTATTTCAGTGTTCTTCATCATCAGGAGGTGTATCATTCTATGTTCCCTATGGCTCATTTCCTCTACTGACAACATTTAAATGTACTGATAGAGATTGATATTGCTTCTGAACTTGCCTTTCTATACCCCTTTAAATTTTGGCCCTCATGTGTGTGAACTCCTAGTGTGTGTCACTTAGCTTCCAGGACTTAGAGCATCCTCTGAATTTTTAAAGAGAACATATAACTGAGTATTCTTTTATCTCATAAGGAATGGTCCAGCTAGCTAGGCTGAACTATTCGGGATGTCTATGCAGTGGAGAGTGTACCCAAGACCATGTTGAGCGTTGGCAGACTGTGGTTCCACAAGTGTATTTGTATGTTCTGTAAGAATTCCCAGGTGTATAATAGAGCTGACAAGGGACAAGATTGTAGTCATTTCTTGGTCACAGCCAGCTACCCAGAGGGAGTGAGTAGTTGGACCTGTGGGCTCGGGACTATAGTTGCAGGGGACATCAAGCTCAATTGGCATAACATACTACATAAAACATTGTTCCACCTGCTACTTTGGCGAGTAGTGACTGGGATCTTAAAAGCTTGCAAGAGGCCATCTAGATGCAACGACGGGTCTCTCCTTGTCCAGAGCAAAGAAGAATGAGGAAAACCAAAGATTCGTGGAAACAAGTAGTCTAAGTGCCTGATACACCATGTGATCCTCAGCCCATACAACTGTGAGACCAGAATAACTAGGGTGCCAGCTACCACTGTCAACTACTCGTAGGGGGATCTATGTAGAAATTCCTGGATTGAAAGGGAGAACAATGTGGAACAAAACTCAAAATCATTTGAGGAAAATAAAAAAAGGGGGGATGCTTGAACAATTTCTCCTAGAAAGATCAGCACGAGGCCGGTCCCCATGAGGCGGAGGTCAAAGATGTCCCAAATGTCCAAACTACCATGCCACTCCATCATTTCAGACATTAACTCCTCCTCCTCCTCCCAGTAATTTCCCCAGTCTTAGGTTCTATATTTTGCTGTAACACCTCACAGAACTCACAGACACCCAAGGGTTCGTCTCACGTAGTAGTGGTGGAGGCTGGCAGGCTGGCGAGTCCCGGGTCCGTGAATAGGTCTGGCGGATCCTCCCAACTCTCGGGGTTTGATGAGCCTCGATCAGCAGATCAGATGACAGCTGCTGTCCCAAATCCAGGGGTGAGATGAGGATGAGCCAAGACACAAAGCTGGAGCAAGAGGAGAGTGAATCTTCCCAGGAGATTCAGTAGGTATCCCCTCAGGGAAGCTAAGGGTGGTGATTTGAATTATACCCTCCAGCAAGGCAGGACTCAAGATACATTCCACCTGTGTTGCCCTAACAGAATTAACCTAAATCCCATCACAGATTTGATTGCCAGTCATTATAGGGAATGACTACTACCAGCTGCCCAGCCAAGTTGATACCTGACCTTAACTACCACACCACCCCAAATAGCCATGGATAATGAGATTTACAAAACATCACAGAATGGAGGACAATGGCTAGAAGGGCCACATCAAGCAATTCATTGCAGGGAGGAGGTTTGCTGGTCTCATAGAACCTGATGGAACAACTGAGACTATGGCCCCTAGCTGCCCTTCAGATCTGTAATTGAACCCACTCCTGTGGCTTCTAGCCAAACAAAAGACAGACATATGAGGTGAACATTTACATTAGGCAATACACTCCTTATAGAGAACAATGATGGGAGAATAGAAGGGCTGTGTATGCACAGGGAGAAAGCTCAGGGGGGAGAAGTGCATGGAGGGAAGGACACAGGGAGGAGGTAACTGTCAGGAGGAAGTGGGAGAGGAGCTGTTGCATTGGGGTAAATTGTAGTCAATGTGATGGGAAAACGTGTGTGTGAATTGCTGTATGGAAAGTGAATTTGCTCTGTAAATTTTCACCCAAATCACAATAAAAAAAGAAAAAGAACGGGTTCAGACCTATGTGTAAGAGGGACAGGAACTCCAGGAGTAATAGGAAAATATCTTGGGGTTCTATCCCCATGCACTCTTCACCTACATTGTGACTGTGAAGCAGTGAGTCAAAATTTTTGATGTTATTTGTGGCAACAAATTTACATAGTCATGCTTCATCCCTTTCTTTATAGAATCCCCTTCTCAGATCTAGAGACCTCTTAGATTTGATACTGGGAACAGTGATATGTCCTCTTCTCAAAAGCCAAATGAATCTCTGCTTTGGGGGTCTGTATAGGAAGGAAGGTTGGGTAATCCTACTTCCATAGTGATACTGCCTCGGAAACCCAAGGAGGGATCGTTATGAGTTGGGGCCGACTCAACGGCTCATAACAACAACAACAACAATAGAAAATGTCAGCAGTAGGTTCAGTATCTGTGAGACCTCTTGTGTCAGGAAGCTGCCAGATATCTCATACAGAGTTCTTGGGAAGGTTATGATGTCTTGTTTTCTTAAGAGTGATGTAGCTGAGTGATTTCTCGAAGAGAAATAAAATCATATGTCCACGAAAAATCTTTTTTTTTTTTGAAAACAAGTCATCTAGCTCCTCATTTCACAGCCCAGCAGCATTGACAGTAGCTAAAGACAGTCTTGGGTCTGACCTTGGTAGTGAGGATTGTTGAATGCTGGGCCTTGACACCGAGAGCATGAATGTGTGGAAGGTCCTCACAGGGGAGCTCCCGAGGGCCCACAGAGGGTGTAAAGAAAGGCTTAAAGGAAAATGATCCTAGAGTTGAGGGACAGAGGGTGCTTGGGGTGAAGAGTAAGTTGGAAGAGGTGACTCAGGGTGGAGTGTCAAAGTCAAGGGATACTCAGGACTAAGGCTGGTGCTGTCATTCCCAGGCCTTCTTTTTATAGTGAAGTCCTAATAGGGGGCCTTGTTTAAGGTAAGGCTTCTATTAGGAAGGGACATTGAAGATCTTGTTTTCCCAGAGTTTAGAACTTTACAAAGAATAGTACTGCAAGTAAAAAAGCAGTAGAAGTGTAAGAGAGTAGTCATTGGAGTGTGACAGAGCTCATCACATCCTGGCTCTACTATGTAAATGCTACATCACCTTTGGCAAGTTATTGAACCTCTGATTCCATTTCTTCACTTCCAAAATGAGGATACTGCCATCTCTCCTAGGTATGCTGGTGAATATATTAGAAGAGTGAGTATGCATGGTATGCTCTATATGCTCCCTGGCACGCCTGTAGCTCCTAGTGCTGGGTGGCTGGTGTGAGGAGCTTCCCAGGAGGCCTGCCTCCCTCTCTCTTTCCTGCCTTCTCATCTCAACCTAACTGACCCATCCACTCCAGAGAACACTGGTCTTCTGCCTTTTATGTCTTCTTGGGCTCTCTCTTTCCCTGAGCACTGACCTGACCTTTCAGAAACACCAAGAATGTACCCTTTCATTCATTGAGGACAGAGAGGGTTTTCAGGATCAAGGCCTCCCTCACCAGCTGCCTCTGCTGTTCAACCAGCTGTAGGAGCCTGTGGTCTGGGCTGATCCTGCCCAGCTACTATAGTCAGCATCTGTGTGCTAGCCCTGGTAGAGGTGGTACAGTGTGGGGCTCAAGTCTGTGATTGGACAAAGGGACCAGGAAGGGGGAACCATTCAGAGTTAGAGGAAAATGCAGTTGTCAGCTAGCCTTCTGGGCTGGATCTGTGGCTGTGTCTCCAGGAGAGCCTTTCACGTTGCTCTTAGATGGGGATGGCTCCAAGGCCCTCCCTTGTCCCAGGTGTACCCTTGTGGGTTTGTCTGGAGGAGCATTCGTGGGGAGTCTGCAAAGCTGGAGCTAAGTCCAGAGCCAGGGAGTCAGTCAGTCCTCCTTTACTCATTGCAGCAGTGAGCTGGCCCAGGGAGCAGTTTGTCCTTGATAACCACTGTGGTCTGTGCTGCTGGCATTTTTCCATTTGGAACTTTTGGAGCTTAATCTTAAATGCCTAGAGCCTGGGAAATACTGTCCCTGCTGCCACCTCTATTATCTTAGTGACTAGACACTGCTGGATTCTGCTGCAGAAGCTGAGTTGTGGGGGCAGAGGGGGGCAGTGGAGTCCTGGCACATGGAGGACCAGACAGCCATTGTCTGGGAAGAGGATATTATCTGTGGCTGGCCCCACAGAAGATGAGGACAGTCATCTGGTAGTGACAGAGGTCCCTTGGCTGGCAGTTAACTGAAGACTTGCTAGACATGTAACATAAGGTCAGTATTTTCTTTTTCACCTGCTTTCTGGGAGCTTGGCTAATGTGTTTAGCAGAGGAGCAGTTTTCAGTCTGACAGTATGTGGCATCTTGCGTGGACATGTTTTGTCTGCAGTTAGAATGTCAGACAAAACAAAAAAAACCAAATTCGCTGCCATCGAGTCGATTGCTACTCACAGTTGACCCCTTCTTGGGTTTCCGAGGTCTTCCTTCCGAAGAGTGGCTGGTGGATTTGAACGACCAGCCTTCTTGTTAGCAGTCAAATGCCTTACAGACTACACCACCAGAGCTTCCATAATGTCAGAGAGCCTATCCTTTCTGGTACTGTTGTTAGGAAGGAAACTGTATTAGGTCTGCATAAGCTGACTTCCAAGCTGCCACTTTCCCAGGTGAAGGATAGAGGGAGTTCTCTTCTAGGGAAAAGCAGATTGTAAATCTGAGGGATGGAAAGACAGCAGAGAAAGGACTTGAGTCATCTCAGGGAATTCCCAAAAGACCTGTGACCCATCCCTTGCATTTGGTGGTCTGTGGGTCTTAGCTAGACTTATCTAACACTCTCTGATGGGCTCATGTGTGTAATTGGCCATTTCTCTGGTCAGACAAAATCTGAATCAGTAATAGAAGCATGACACATAGTATAAAACGTTTTCCATTAACTACTTTTTCTATTCATGTGCCATTAACTGGCCTTTGGCCTCACATGTGACAAAAGGTACCTTCCTTTTTTGTATATACCATGTATGTATTTGGGCTTTTGCCCACCACACAGCAATCAGTGCCAGTTTTCTCTGAGCATGCTCAAGTATCTGGCCCTGCCCTAGTCCTTGGACCTGTTGCAGATGGAGTTACCTCACAGCACCTTCCCAGGGAAGAGACTATGGTGTGTCACACTTCCCCCAACCCCCATCCACCTATTCACTCTCTCACACATTAATCCTTCACTGTCCCCTAAGTCCAGTAAGAAATCTTACTTTCTTCTAAGACAAGGGCAGCAAACTTCTGTAAAGACTAGATAGTGGTTCAGACTTTTTGAGCCATACCCACTCTGAGGCAGCTACTCATCTACCTTGGGGCACATCACAAGCAGCAGCCTTAGGCAGTATGTAAATGGATGGGCATGGCTGTGTTCAAATCAACTTTATTTACAAAAACAACCAAAAAAACAAACCAAGCCCACTGCTGTTGAGTCACTTCTGACTCACAGCAAACCCCCTTCCGTTAAGATGGTAAATCTTTACAGAAGTAGATTGTATCACCTTCTTTCTACAGAGTAGCTGGTGCATTTGAACTGTTTACCTTCTAGTTAGGTTCTGCACCACCAGAGTTGTTGTTGTTGTTAAGTGCCCTCGAGTCGTTTCCGACTCATAGCGACCCCGTGCACAGCAGAACGAAACACTGCCCAATCCCGCGCCAGCCCCATGATCCCTGCTATACTTGAGCCCATCATCGCAGCCACCGTATCAATCCATCTCCCTGAAGGCCTCCCCCTCTTTCGTCGACCCTCCACCCTACCAAGCATGACATCCTTCTCCAGGGAATGGTCCCTTCTTACAATATGACCAAAATAGGCCAGCCAAATTTGGCCCAGAAGCTATAGTTTTCAGACCCTTGCTCTGAGACCTTCTATGATTTCATTCCACTCTACAAAGTGGCAAATTCTCTAAGAAAAGTGAATCCTTAGAGAAGATTGTTCATCCTGAGTTCTGATGCTAGTGTCAGACCAGTAAATAAGCTTCTCCCAGGTTGGACTCACAGGTCCTGGAGTAGGAGTGAGGGCTTGGGTGGGGGTGGGCAAGGGCAGATGAGGGGACCTACCTTCTGGCTTTTTGCTAGCCTCAGGCAGATCCTGAGTTCTTTCTTGCCACTCCCCTCCCACTAACACCCTGTAGCCCCCAGGCAGTTGGCACTCTTAGAAATCTGAACAACAAGGATAGACACACCCCGGCAGAAATAGCATGTAAAGTCCTTACACAGGGGAAAAAACCCGGGTGGGAGGGGAAGGGAAGGAACACTGCAAAAATAAAATAAAATGAAAACAACAAAAAAAGTAAAAAACCTGGAGTTACTCCAGGAAGAGGTTAGCATGTAGTGGAAGCTGTCAGTTTTCAGAGGAGGAATTGGACTCATCCATGAGCATACAGGAACCTGGTCAAGCATGGCCACCATCTAGAATTTTTTTTGAGCTTTTTATTATAGAAAAGTTCAAATACATGTAAATTATCGACTCATGGATAATCTTTGTTTCATTTATATCCCCACTGGATCTAAAGGGAATCCCAGATATATCATTTCACTGGTAAACACTTCTGTGTTCAAACTCTTGAGTCCAGCCCAGGGTCTTCCAATGAGAAAAGAGTGGCAGCCAACTCTTCTTGGACTCTGCCACACGTCCAGGTGTCCCATGCATATAGATTCTCTCTTCTCTGGCTCCTACTCCCCGATCACAGGGGGCCATTGTTCCACTGAATGGAGGTGCAGCAGTAATCTCTAAGCATGACAGAATTTCTGGGGCTTCTGTTCTATTCTGTATTTCTAGGAGATTTTCAGTAGACACCTGTTTATTCTGTTTTCAACGCTTAAAGCTTGTTAACTTAGCCAATTTTTTTTTAAAGTCTGCTTTACTTTCCTGGTGATTTTCCTTAACCAGAATGAAGCTGTAGGTTTCCACTAAACCTGCAGGTCTAAGAATATGTTAGTTTAGTAACCATTCTCCCATCCTCCCATCCTACACTGTGACATCACGAGCTATCTGTGACACTATGCCTGTTTTCCCATGGCCCATGAAGGCAGTTGCCAGAAGGCCAAAGTCCTCTCTACCCTGTTGAATTCAGGGCTCTCAGAGGGGCTTAGACTGCCACTGGTTTGTCCTACACTTGGTTTGCATTTCCCCTGGGTGACTGTTGCCCCTTCTGTGATAGGAGAGTGCCGGGAGAGCAGTGTGAAGAGGACCACCCATGGCCGAGGGATGGAGAGGCGTCCCACAAGGCCCGGATTCAGCAGCAGCAGTGCTATGTGGATGATCTGAGACAGCAAATCCTTGCAGGACAGATTAGAGCTGAGCGGGAGCTGGAATTTGACCAGGCTCACATCAACCAGCAGATTAAAGACAGTAGGTGCCCACCACTTAGACTGTTTGCCTCACCTTATCCTTCCTGCCTTTTCATGTTCCCTCAGCCTTCTGTATTCTCTCCTTTGTTTTCTTTGTGATCTGATAGAATTCTTGGCTTTGGGTGTTCTATCACAGACCAGAGGGGCTGGAAGCAAGAATAAGGGCACTATCTTCCTTATTCTTGCTCAGGATCATGGGACCCCGACTAACTCCTCACACACGCACACACACACACACACACACACACACTTGTCCACACTTCACTGCTGGCCCTGGCATGTGCCCACTACTGTGTTAAGACCTGGGGGTGGGCCTCCACTTACCCTGTGGACCCTGTAGTCTCCATCCTTAAGTCCCCCCAGCCAACTCTTTCACTCCAGATAGGGCTAGCCATGGCCAGAAGTGTCTGAGTCCAGGCAGCCACGTGTGCAGAGGGAGGTGCTGACATTCTCTCTGGGTGTGTTTGGTTGTCAGACCAGCAGTGGCTCCTCAGAGAAGAGACCTGGCTGGCCAGCTTACAGCAGCAGCAACAAGACTGTGTGGGAGAGAAAGATCTTGAGACCTCTGTGGTACCCAGTGTTTGGCTTCAGACAGATTCGGAGGCTCAACCATCCCTGCTAGTGCAAAGCCAGAAGCGGGTGGTGCAGGTACAGCTCCTGCGAAGACACGCTCTTCGGGCAGCAGAGCGGAACGTACGGCGAAGAAAGGCCACTTTCCAGCTAGAGAGAATCATCAAGAAGCAGAGACTGCTGGAGGTGCAGAAGAGCCAGGAGCAGCTGAAGGCATTGTGCTGGCTCCAGGATGACAGGACCCAGGAGCCCCCAGGCCACGTCCCCAGCCCAGATGCCTTGATCCCAGGGCCTCCATGGAGAAGCAAATCGACAAGTTGCAGTTGTTTGGGACTCCAGAGGTTTTGCAGCCAGCACTTGGCCCAGCCACACAGGTACAGCCCTTGGTTGCCACTGGAAGCATATGGGAGCTATAGAGTATTTTAGTGCCTTGGCTGAAGTTTATAGCCTTGTTGCCCAGTATTGTTCCTCACTTCCTAGTGCCTCAGTCTCCTCATTCTGCAAAATGGGAAGATTTGTTTATCGCTCTCTTCCCCACCATTTTTCTTTCTGTGTAGTTTTTCTTCTCTGAGACTCAGGATTCTTCCCTTCTTTGTCACCATCAGAGCAGCAGTTCTTATGTTGGTGATATTTTCAGCCTGTTTCTCACCTGCTCTTTAATCTTGGATTGTCCGTATACATCTCACATGAGCCTTGCCATCACCTTAGTCTCATCATGCTTCATACCGGCTTTCATCCTTCCCATATGCTTCCTTCCTCTCTATCCCTACCCTTCCCACCTCAAGTGAGCTCCCTGACTCCACTTCCCAGCTTGCTTAGTAGAATACTGTCTTTCTGACTTCTGAGTTCATTCTTGGAATCTTTCTCTTTGATCCCTCACTCCATATGTTCATTAAGGTAACTTTTTTATTCTCTCCTTCTGGTTTTGTGTATACACTGTCTCCCAAACTCCTTGGAGCAGGAGTCTATGTCTTATACTTCTTTATATCCTCAGGACCTATCTCAAGGTGCACAATTAATGTCTGTATTATATTTTCTTACCTCTCTGGTCTTCAGAGTACTAGGCAGAATTTTTTTTTTTTTTTT